TTTTGTTAAACTCTGTAAAGTCAAACTGTGAAGTTAATTACGCGAGAGAGTATATATTGCTCATTTTTTTAGATTCAATATGTATCTGTCATATGTTGTGTTCTGAGAGCATTTTGTTCAGAGGGCTACTAAACTACACCATCCCTTAAAGGTCCATAATTTCCTCTCATGTACACCTTAAACTTCATGATGTACAACAAACAAACAACAACAACCCAGTTGAATCCCACAAGAGTAGGGTCTGGGGAGGGTGTGTGTACGCAGACCTTACCCCTACTCGAAAGTAGAGAGGCTGTTTCCAAAGAGACCCCCGGCTCAATGTTGAAAGTCGCATTGCTTGACTAACTGCTACTTCATTAATTAAAGAAGCACAGACAGTTTAGAAATCCATTTTGATTTATTCCATCACACTCCAAAGCCAAAAAATGGTGAAATTTTGGCTCCATCGGAGATGATGGAAAATTAAACTCCATCCTAGGTGCTAGGCCCCCGTTTGTCACCCACTTATCACTTCTCAGAACACTAAATTAAAGTTATTAATTATAACAAATGTACATCATTAAACTCCATGATGTACATTTGTTATAATTAATAACTTTAATTTAGTGTTCTGAGAAGTGATAAGTGGGTGACAAACGGGGGCCTAGCACCTAGGCAGCGCATAAGCGGAGTAAAATCAGGAAAATCTCAGTGGCTAAGGAAAGCCTAGCGTGTAGGTGGCTCTAAGCCGAGATTTTTTAAAACACAAATTTAATCTAATATTTATGCGTTGCTGCATTAAGATCTTTTGAACTTAGGCAGGGTTAATAATTAGTTGATTGTATGCAATCCCTTCTATGCCACATCTAATTTCCACTTGGACTATTCTGGTGACTAAGGTTGCGTTCCGTTCGCCTGATCTAATCTGATTTTTTGAAGTTATCTGATCTAATGTAATTTGATTAACAACAACAACAACTACCCAGTTGGATCCCACAATAGTAGGGTCTGGGGAGGGTGTGTGTACGCAGACCTTGCCCCTACTCGGAAGTAGGGAGGCTGTTTCCAAGAGACCCCCGGCTCCACCTGCACAAAAATATGGAAGGGAACACAATATAGCCCATATAAAGCGCCAAGTACAAGCAACAAGTACAAGCAATAGCAAAAGATTCTAAACAAATACAACACACTACAAAACAACCTCTACAACACCGAGCTCCTATCCAACTACTCTAATCCTAGTTTTCCAAAGGTTCCTATCTAAGGCCATATCCTCAGTCAGGTTGAGAAGTCCTAAATCCTGCCTAATCACCTCCATCCAATTCTTCCTGGGTCTACCCCTTCCCCTACTTCCCCCGATAACCGTAATCCTCTCGCATCTCCGTACAGGGGCGTCAGCATCCCGCCGTCTCACATGGCCAAACCATCTCAACCTCGCTTCTCGCAACTTATCTTCCACCGGTGCCATGCCTACCTGACGTCGAATGACTTCGTTTGTAATCTTATCCAACCTTGTCTTACCACACATCCATCGTAACATCCGCATCTCCGCTGCATGCAAACGACGCACATGAGTCTTCTTAACCGCCCAACACTCTGCCCCATATAACATAGCAGGTCTGACTACTGATCGATAGAACTTACCTTATAATTTGATTAAAATTAAAATTATTATTATAATAGTTATTATAGTAATAGAAATATTAATAATAATAGTAATAATTATAATAATAGAAATAATAATAATAACTATAATAATAATAATAGTAATAATAATAGTAATAAGAATAGTAATAATATTTATAACTATAATAATTGTTAGATTACATCCCACATCGGAAATCCAAGAGTAAAATAATCGGTATATAAGCTCTAGAGTTGAACTAA